TCATACTCTTGTCCAGTCTGAGTCATATCTACAACTAATGAGTCATGAGACTATGTACCATGTAGAATGTGTTGAAGTAGGAAATGCAGAGAGAACTGGAGTCAACAGTAAGAAGCTCTGCATTGCAAGACAAGAAAAGAATCTACAGACCTGGAGTCAATAGTAAGAAGCTGAAGAACTCCAGGTAGACAAGAACTATCTATGTGGATAGAGCATGTGACTATATAGGAATCATGTGACCAGGAGCATGTGAGCAGAATGATGGGAACACTAATGAAATCAGATATCATCAGTGATAGGAACAGATGGGAACAATGATGGAATCAGATCATGTGACCCAATCATCAGAGAGTGATCAAGTCCAAAACCCATCCTTAATAGAACACTGGTCATGGGTTGTAGTGGAAGCTTCCAGAGCATATGTTGCGCAGCTTTGGATTGATAGAGATAACCCTTCTCAACCCCTAATCTAGACCATGTGATGCTTTGATCTGTGATAAGATAACCCCATATCAAGATAAGATAAGATGATCAATGAAATGACAAAAAAGTGATCAAATTATGACATGCAGTAGTAGTACATCTCAATCTTGGTCAAACATCTCACTCAGAAATTTTCTAGGCATTTTGCCTTCCTATTTCAAGAATCTATGTTCCGAGTGTAAATTACTGTAGAAATCCATTTTAACCTTGAAGAGAGAGTAGAATTGTTATAGTAGGATTGCTTTTCCATCATTTCATTGATCAATCATCTCATCTTGATATTGGGTTATCTTATCATGGATCCAGGCATTCACGGCCCAGACTAGGGGCTTAGTGTTTTTCAGTCCAGGTTTGAAGCTATCTGCAGCTGTGCAATATGTGTTCAAGAATGCTATACCACAGCCCATGACTAGTGTTTTATATGGTACATAGCCTTGGGAATCATTATGACTTATAGCTGTAGATGTGACTCAGACTGAACTTGTCATAGTTTAATCCTTTTTCACATCATTTCATTGATCAATCATCTTGTTATGGATCACAGCATCACACGGTCTGGGTTAGGGGCTCTAAATGTCATCTGTACATGGAGGCTGCACAACATATGCTCCAGATCTGGTCTTTGACAAAGGTCCCTTGAGTACTCTTTTACTAAATATACATACAAGTCCATACATTCATTGACCTATGTGAACAAGAGCAAGTTCAAATAATATCAACACTCATGAGGTAAGAACAAAGGAAGCAGCTGGCTTGAGAACTGATAATGTGTTGAGGTGTGGATGCAGTGTTTGCTTGGTTTGGACCAAGGATGTGGCATTGCTCTGTGACATGTAGTATATATTGTCAGGGGAAGCCCTGTCTCAAGGTTGCACTTATATATATCATCTAATCAATGGGCCCTACTCAGCTGTTTTGCCTCCCCACCTACAGAGTTTCTATTACACTACTAATGTAAAATCAGGATCTATATAAAATACATAGAGTAGAATTTTTAGATTGATCAGGTTTGGAAATTTTCCAAATGACTCACTGTAATGAAGTGGCACAAAGCTTTGGGTTCCTGAAGCAAGAATATCTGTATTACAAGAATGACTTTCATTTTTTCCTGTTGCCCTTGCTTCCACTCCTTTTCTGTTTCTGCAATGAATGGCTCTACTGTTAGATGTAAGACAGGAGGACATTGCTTGAGAAGCATCAAGTGTTATAAATAGGGATATACCTAGGGAAACATGTGTTGTTATTGAAAGCTATATAGAGTTTCATTGAAAGAGTTAGAATATGGAGACATTGAAAGAGTTCGAATATAGAGACATTGTATAACAGTCTATCAGCTTTGAGGAGGCCAAATATAAATGATTACATGGCAGACTAATTCCCTTTCAAAATTGCCATAATTTGCATCAAGATTTCCCCATAGAGAAATTTGTCAGCGGAACCCCTGCTTTTTCTCAATCATCACGGGATCTTGCAAGTGACCATGCATATGCTATCTGTTAATTGTTGTGTAAGTTGAACATGCCCAATATAGAAACTGTTCCAAATCACTGATCCAATTGTGACTAGCTACAACAAGTTCAGATTTCCCCTGGATTTGACTATCAGGGTCTGCTATTGGATCATGTTAATCTTCGTCTAGAGGATAAGATGAGATTGTATTTTACATCATCAAAAATTGATGCAAAATCAAAAGCTGTGTTATTGCTAACAGCAGTGGAGTATAAGTGGAATGCTGACAAGAAAAGTGATGGGAAATCAAAGTTGTAGTTCTTGCAAAACTGGACAACTTTTGTTTACATACATAGGTGATCAGATCACTGATTAGCAGAAAGCATGCAAAACAGTCTACACAATAAGATCACTTGAGAAATAATGCCAATCAGAAATGTGTATGTCTGGTGAGAAACAGAAGTTTTAAATTTATTAAATGCATGACAAGATCACTCTGGAAATGATGTAGATTATAATGCTGGCCAGAAAAGGAAACTTCCAGATTGGTCAAACCAGTTGACCAGGTCATTGTAGCTAGACCTATGCATTCATAGTTGACTGAACAAAAATCACTATCTGTGGCTGTATCCCAGCATGTCCCAAAGAATAATTTAATTTATGATGGCAATACTGATAGTAACTCTGAGGATAACAAACAAGAGGATGCCAAAGATGCATGAGTTGAAGGCTTGGCATACAGAGTCACACTACATGCTGAGAATAGGGTAGTTACAACTGATTTTTCATAAAAATTGGTAGTGCAGTTCCCAAGATAATGCCTTGGGTCAGAAGTTACAGAAAGTAACACAATGTGTTGCGGAGAGATACTTAAAGCAGGCCACAGATAAGGATCATGTGCTGGCAGTGTCACCATTGCATGCACAAGAAAAAATAATGCAAAAATTACCTTGGGTCACATGATGTGACATGTCACACTGGCAGAGCAGGGCAGTGAGTGGGACATCAAAATTTGGGATGTGTCTGATATGCACATATGAAAAAAAAAATGATGCAGAAATATGTTTGTGACCTAGATCAGAATGTCTGATTGGTGGAGGACAGAATAGTGAGCTGGACTTCCCAATTTGGTCAGCAGCAGTGCCCAGTGATGGCCACAGAATGTTCCAAGCAGCTCTGGGGCCCATAGGTACTCATATCTACCAAGGTGATGTTTTTCTGCCAGCCTTTAGGCCAGCTTTTGGCGCAGCAAGCCCTTGTTCACATATGAATCTATAGTTATAGGTGGTGCATAGGGGGTACCACCACCTATTACTATAGGTGTCTAATGGGATTTATAGGTGGTCCAGTGAGCCAGGAGTGGCACAGGAAGCGGAAGCGGCGCTCGTCACCCGTGATGTACGGGGCAGTGCAGTCCCCGTCATGGCGTGCCATCCCACATCGCCAACACTCGCGGCTTCCTGGTATCAGCGTCCCAGGGGAGAGTGGGTGGCCTTTTTCCCATAGACGAAGGGTCCCTGTTGCCCGCTCGTTTTGTGTGTCATGCAGCCATCGCGCTTTCTGCTGCGCATACGTAGCGCGTCCCTGCTCCGTGTCTGGCTGGGCAATGGAAACTACCAGCTCCCTGGTGGCGCGGATGTGCGTAAGCTCGTCTTGAGTGGGGACGTAGTCTCGTCCAAACTGAGGGAGGTCCGGCCTCGGGTTCTGTGTTGCAGTTGATGGAGCACCCCTCTGGGCTTGGACGTTTGGCGCGATCAATGGTGAAGGGTTTGCGACGGGACGTGGTGCCACCGGGAATGTCATCTGGGTGCGCGGGGCAACCGGGGCGATGCACATCGTCTGCATAGAACGTGAGATCTGGTCCATCTGCTGCTGCAACGCGGCGTTGGCACGGTGGGCATCCGTCGCCCGATTGACTTCGCTGGTCGGTATGCCCCTGATCGCGGCCGCAACATCCGCCCATGTGGCTGGGACTGGCGTGAGCGCAGCCTGAAGCACGGCCAGCTGATTCTCCAGCCACAGATGGAAGCCGCCAATCTGGCCCTGAACCTTCGCCTCGATGGCCAGGTCCTCCACTCGGTTTGCGTAATCATCCTGGACCAACAGCCGCACTCCCCCTCGGGTGACCGTGCCTTCTGCCAGCTCGGCCAGCGTGATCTTTGAGCGGAGAAGTTCGGCCTCCAGCTCCCCTTTCGAGCGCTTCATGGCCTGGACACCTGTAAATTTAGCCTTCAGCTCCGCCAGGTACGCGTCCAGCGATGCCCGCGCTGGCGAGTTTGCTGGCAACGCAAGCATGTGGTCCTCCGCCGGGCTGTCAGGTTTGAGGTACAGGTTCACCACGTCGATCTGGTCGGCGGTCGTGGCGTACTGATGGTGGGCAATATGTTTCCGGACGGCGCGTATGAAGTCTGTGATGAGCATGTCGCTGCCGTCGCGACGGCTTGAGTACGGCACGATCTCTGTTTGCGGCATATCTGGAGGTGGCCTGAGTCGGGCAGGGCAATGTGAAGACGAATGTGGCGGCATGGGCAACTGTGGCTGATTACCAAAACGGGCCCGAAGTGCAGCGATGGCAGTGGTGCGGTCGGGCGGTGACGGCGTAAGCTTGGAGATTGGTGAGCTTGTAGGGTCTACTGGGTCAGACTCGCTTCGCTGACGTGTGCGGCGACTGAGGCGCGTGGGCGGGTATTGGGCGATATTAACAGGCTCTCCCAAGCCTTGAGAACGCGTAGTGGCGCGTATTTTGACTGGTGGCAGCGTGGGCAACATGGGCAGTGGGGGTGACGTGGGCTACGTGGGCTGAACAGAGAGGGCTTTCTTGCACTTATTGCCTCAAGATCGCGAGAGTGCGTTGGGCGTGGACGACTCGCACTCCAATCACCAGATGGGAGGGCCGGGGATCGGGGAATCGGCGGGTGGCGATGCCGTGACAAATGTGCTAGCCGGTGGCGGAGACAAAACCCGATATCGATGTACTAGCACAAACTGCCCCAAGCTATATACTGATCCGATCAACACAGCCACTCGATCACTCTCGCTCTCCCCAACACAATGTATACGTCCAGATCATGGGCCTGGATTCAGGAAAGATGCGCGGAGTCAAGGCGCTACTCGATAGTGGCTGCAGTACCTGCTGCATCGATACCGACTACGTGCGGGCAGAGAAGCTGGATATTCAAGAGCTTCCCCAACCCATTGTGGCTCGTAACGCCGACAACACCGAGAACATCAGCAGTCGAATTACGCATTACGTCGACCTAAGGATGAAAATCGGCCCTCATGTGGAGACACGCACGTTTCTTCTGACGTGTCTAGGGAAAGCTCGGATCTTCATCGGCCTTGATTGGCTGATGGAACACAACCCCGAGGTGGATTGGCAGGAGCAGACAATGAGGTTCAGCTGATGCCCAGAGCGGTGTCACATGGGGGGTCACGAGGAACACCAAGCAATGATCGACATGGATGCAATCGACCTGGACATGGACGTACCGGATCTGGAAGAGGGTGAATCGATCCTGTTGATCGACTTTGGGAAGGAGGTGGATCTACGGCTGAAGGAAACGCTGGCGCAGAAATTCGCAGAAGAAGCGGAAAAGGAGAAGGAGAGAATGACCGAAGGGAAGATTCCGGATCAATATTGGGAATTTGTCAAAGTATTCGCCAAGGAATCATTCGACTCGCTGCCAGACCAACGGGCATGGGATCATGCCATCGAGCTCAAACCTGGTTCCAAAGCAGTGGACTGCAAGGTGTACCCGTTATCACGAAACAAACAGGTCAAACTTGACGAGTTCTTACAAGAGAACCTGGCCAGCAGACGGATCAGGCCATCAAAATCACCCATGGCATTAGCATTCTTCTTTGTCAAGAAAAAGGATGGCTCCCTACACCCCGTCCAAGATTATCGAAAGCTGAACGAGATGACAATCCGAAATCGATACCCGCTGCCGCTGATCTCCGAACTGGTCCATAATTTATGCGGCGCCAAGTTCTTCACAAAGCTTGACATCCGGTGGGGATACAACAATGTACGGATCAAAGAGGGCGACGAGTGGAAGGCTGCGTTCCGCACGAACCGCGGACTATACGAGCCCTTGGTCATGTTCTTTGGTCTCACGAACTCCCCGGCAACCTTCCAAAACATGATGAATGACATACTCCGAGAACTGATCAACGAGGGCCACGTGGTAGTTTATCTTGACGATATACTGATCTTCACAGAGAACTTGGACGAACATCGGCGGATCACAAAACGAGTACTTGAACTGCTCCAAAAACACAAGCTGTACCTCAAACCCGAAAAGTGCGAGTTCGAACGCACGGAAATCGAATATTTGGGTGTAATTATTGGACACAATTCGATGCGGATGGACCCTGTCAAGATCAAGGGCGTGATGGAATGGCCAGAGCCAAGGAGCGTCAAACAGGTCCAAGCCTTCCTCGGATTCACAAACTTCTATCGACACTTTGTCCGGGGATACGCAGAGGTTGCCAAGCCATTGACACGGCTGACAGGGAAGGCAGGATGGTCATGGGGTGCAGATGAGCATGCGGCATTTGATGGATTGAAGAAGAGAATCGCGGAGGATGCGGTCCTAGCACTGCCAAATGACACTGGCCAATATCGTCTGGAAGCCGATGCTTCGGAAGGGGCAACAGGATCAGTTTTGAGCCAAAACCAAGACAGCATTTGGCGCCCAATCGCATTTATTTCGCACGCATTGACCGAAACCGAGCGAAATTACGAGATCTACGACAAGGAAATGCTTGCAATCATGCTATCATTGGACGAATGGAGACAGCTACTACTGGGAGCCACGGAGACGTTCGAGATCTTCACTGATCATCAGAATCTTGAGTACTTCCGGAAGCCGCAGAAGCTCAATCGACGGCAAGCACGATGGATCACGGAGTTGGCGGAGTTTGATTTCACCTTACGACACCGACCCGGCGCACTCAACCGCAAGGCAGATCTCCTGTCTCGACGAGCAGATCACGATCAGGGCAAGAACGACAACAAGGACGTCACGCTACTGAAGCCCGAGTTCTTCCGATCACAAGAAGTCACATTCGAGGGACAGGATCAGCAGCTAATCGATGAAATCAAGGCCATTCGATCAATTGATGGAAGCGTCAAGGCGGCCTTAGAGAAGTCACTCGTCGGATGGAAGAAGGAAGAAGGGCTTATCACGTATCATGGGAAGCTCTATGTACCAAGGGATGAGGAGTTGCGGGACAAGATCATCGGACTACACCACGACACCCCTTTGGTCGGACACGCTGGGATCAACCGAACGCAGGAGATGGTGGAAAGGAACTACTGGTGGCCAAGGATGGGAAACCAAATTCGGAAATACATCCAGACGTGCGAGGCGTGCCAGCGGACCAAGACCAGAAGAGCCAGGACAGGGAGTTTGCACCCGCATGCAGTTCCAAACGCGCCGTGGGAAATCATCTCCATGGATCAGATCGGACCCTTGCCGGTCAGTAACGGGTATGACGCAATTCATGTGTGGTGTGACACCTTCACCAAAATGATCCATGTCGAACCAATTAGTACTGACATCAGCAGCGAAGGAGTGGCACGATTAACCAGGGACCGAGTCTTCCGCTACCACGGGATCCCTCGCAAGATCATCACCGACAGGGATTCGCGTTACATCAAGGGCTTCATGAGGGAGACGAATCGGATGTTGGGCGTGGAAATGAATCCGGGAACTGCATATCACCCGATCACGGATGGACAGACAGAACGCATGAATCAGGAGATCGAGCATTATCTCTGCATCTACGTCAATTACCATCAGACAGACTGGTCGGAATGGCTGGGAATGGCAGAGTTCGCATACAACGACAAGATGAACACGTCTACCAAGATATCACCGTTCTACGCAAATCACGGATATCACCCATGGAAGGGAGTGGAGCAAAGGATGGAATCGAGGAACGAGTCGGCGGAGGAGTTTGTAAAAAGAATCAGAGAAATACAAGACGAAGCAAAAGCAGCATTGGAAAAAGCAAAAGAAAAAATGAAAAAATATTACGATAAACAAAGAAAAGAAGTGCCGGAGTTGAAGGTTGGGATGAAGGTGTACATAGAAGGGGACAATATCGAGACGGACAGACCCTCGAAGAAGATGAGCGACAAGAGATTGGGGCCATACGAGATACTGGAGAAGGTTGGAGCGGCTGCATGGAAACTGGACCTGCCGGATACGGACCGAAGACACCCGGTGTTCAATGAGTCACTATTGACACCCTATCAAGAACCACCCCCCCATCGCCGAGAAAAGAGACCCGTAGCCAAGATGATCGGAGGAGCAGAAGAGCAGGAAGTCGAAGAGATTGTGAAGGAACGAAAAGTCGGCTGAGGGAAACAATACCTGGTCAAATGGAAGGGATGGCCGCACAGCGAGAACACCTGGGAACCATCACGTCACCTAACCCATGCAAAGAAGGTCTTGGCAGCATGGGAGAAAAAACAATCTGATCCGAACACCCGCATTCGTGCTGTGCCAATACTCTGAGCTGACCACTGGGATTACCTCATCCATTGCTACATACCCAAAGACGAGCAGCTTCCATATCCCCGACGACAACTTTTCGACCCCTACGACAACGTCTTCACACCAATCGGCCCTGTCGATGAGGACATCGACCCTAGAGAGGGGGTAATGTCATGATTCAATCATTTTTCACAATCATTCCATCGATCACCTTATCTTATCATTGACATGGGACTATCTTATCACGGATCACAGCACCACACGGTCCGGGTTTAGGGTTCAAGGGGGTTATCTGCACAAGAGGTCGCGCGGCGTGTGCTCCAGAAGACTATACTACAACCCATGACCAAAGCTCCACACGGTACATAGTCAGATGACTTGTTTGATGTAGATAAGACTCAGACTGGACTCAGTATAAATACAGTAGCTATTGTGTTGTATTCTCCAGTCTTGGAATTGACTTGTCTTTTTGATCATATTCTGTAATGATTGTCACAGGGGAACCCCTTCTTTCGTCCAATCATCATGGGATCTCGCATGTGACCATGCATGTGCCATCTGTCAAGTGTCACGTGCTTCGGCCCGGACTTCCCTGCCAAGCACGTTGATATGACCCACAGGTCCGGGCCCCTATTGTTCTGACAGTCCGGCTCCCATTGTTCTCCCTGATCCAGCCCTCTCATTGTTCCCTGGCCTATTGTTCGATGGTTCCCATTGTTCTGATCATCCCCATTGTTCTGTAGACTATATATAGTGGGCCCTGACAAGGAGAGTCCCCAACTCGGTTTCTCTTTGGACTCTCCCTTGTCAGTCCCTTGTATTACTCAATACCTTATTGACACTTTGGACTCTCCCTTGTCAGGACTCTGAGATTGGGCCTCAAGGTTGCCCTTACAGGCAGGCTAGACCCTGCTGGGGCAATTGAAGTAGCCCACGCTAGGCCCCAAGTGGGGTATGAGTGATGTAGCCCTCTGGGGGCAATTGGTGTCTAGGATGGGTTGAACAGGGTCTATATCAATCAACACTGATTGAACATAAGTCAGACATGTCTAGCCTCTTGTCTCTTCCCACATTCAGTGGCTGTCAGACCAGTGGCACTGGCAGCCTGATCACCAAAGCATTTGGCACGTTGACACCCCCCCCCACCTCTAGATTGTTCATACCTGCCCACTTCCGCACTTTAAGACTGAGAAGAATACGATAAAGGACTGCTTGGACTATTATTTGAAGCCTTCATTGTTATGGAGGACCTGTGAAGAACAGAGATTCATTGAAGTAATTACTTGTAATACAGTTCTCGACCAAAAGAAATAGGAGTGAATTCAGACCTCCAGAATTTCGCGTTTCCCATGTTACATGTCACCCATCAGTCACATCCACGTGACCGGATAGATGCGTATGTCGCCTATCTCGCATTGATAGCATTTGAGCACAGGCATGAGGAGTGAGCTGCAGCAGCGGAAATGAGCCTAAGCACAGGTATGACATTCCCGACACCAGGGTGCCCACATCCAAGTCACGCAAGCCAAGCCCGATCAGCCAAATTTAAACTCCGACCTGCGAGGCAAGCCATTTATTTACACAAGCCGCCTGTATGTAAAGTCTAGTTGATCATGATGGCAGACTTGCAATCAGACAACTCGCGTCCGGCGACTGCACAGCCTGATCAAGATCGATCACGTGTCTTCTTGCGACCGTGCTCTGGTCCACGCTTACTTCCGTCTGGATCATGAACACTCTGGAGCTCAGAAAACGGATTAGCGCTCTGAACCGATCAATTTCCATCCTTCAAGACCAGCTGCGCGTGCTCGAAGCAGAGAAAGCGGACCTCGCGACCCTGCTCTGTCGATCCACGTACCCCATCGAAACCCTACCTCCTGAGATCATAGCCCAGATCTTCAGTCACTATATTGCTGCGCTGGACAAACCCACTCTGTCCCCGGCCTTGCTCGGGGTGTGTCGGACATGGCGGCAGGTCGCATTGGGCACCCCGGGGCTGTGGAACGATATCTTCGTGTCCAGTGATCACCCGCAGCCAGACGCACTGCTGGAGCGCTGGGTGGAGCGCACCGGACCCCACATTCCCCTCGATCTCGACCTCGACCTCGACACGATGCCGCGGACGATGGAGGCCGTGCTGGCGGTGCTGGGTGCGCACGCGTCGCGCTGCCGGCGCTTGGTGCTGAGGATGAGCATGCCGTCAACGTTCAGCCTGGCACCGGGCAGCGGATCCGGATCATGGGAGGAGCTGGAGGAGCTGGACGTGTTCGTGCGCTCATACTGGGGTGCGGCGGTGCTTAGCCCTGTGACGGGGCTGTTCTGCGCGCCGCGGCTGCGCCGGGTGTGCGTCCATTCGTTCCCCGCGACGGAGCTCGTGCTGCCGTGGACTCAGATCACGTCCCTGACGCTCCGCAAGCAGTCCCTCGCGCAGTGCCTCATGGTTATCTCGCAGACGCGCCAGCTGGAGGTACTGCACGTGTCGCTGACAAACCTAGTCACCCGCCACCGCCCGATCTCGCTGGTGCTGCCTGCGCTGCGGCGGCTCAAGATCTACCGCAATGTGACGCCATTGATCCTCGAGTACATGACCCTGCCACAGCTCACGGACCTCGACATCGGAGGCCATGTCGACGGGGTCATCCCGCTTGTGACGCGCTCAGGGTGTACAATCACCCACCTCCGCCTGTCTCGCATGGGAACGGAAGAAGACTCCATTTGCGCATGCCTCGGAGCGTTGCCGGGGTTAACGCACCTTGTGGTGGCGTCGCCGAGCGCGGAATTCTTCTCAAAGTTCTTGCAGATCCTCGCCGACCCTTCCTACCACACGGAAGACCCTCCAGTGGTACTGATCCCCATGCTGCAGTCATTGGTCTTGAAGAATTGCGAACCACAACCCAGGACTTAGAAGTGTCCTGCTCTTAATCGATACGCGCTGCAGACAGCGGGAGGGCTCTGCGTTCCCCACGGCCTTGCTGCGAACCTTTTGTGCGACCTTCTGGGCAGAAGAATACGACGAATACAATGACGAAGACGAGGATGAGCATATCAAGGACTCGATACTCGCCATCAAAAAGCTGATGCGCAAGGAGATCTCCCTCCAACTCAATATGCCCCAATCCTGGCAATCTCACGATTTGAACTGGCATAGGGTGAGTGTCGGCCTGTTCTCCCTACGAGTCTCATGTCTGCAGATTAAGCGATTGAAACGGCTGGAATAATACATTACTCGACACCCCCTACGGGTAATAGTAGCTTTTGTTTTGAGGGCCGAAAAAATGGCTTGAACAGATATGTCAACCATGAAACCGAAAACGAGAATCCCCTGATCGCTCACCTCTGCGATTCCGCTCCAGTCGCACGATATTCTTCCGACTGATTGTACTGATACGGCGCCTGAAACGCTTTCGACGGGCTTGGGTCTCGAGCTCCATACTGCAGCCCGCAGTCATAGCCGCCATGTCCATTCCCGTATTCCTGCGCATTGTGCATCACCACACGCCCGTTGCATCCATGATCCCACGGCGCCTAGTTCCATTGGGCTGTTTCTGGCGCCGCTGCGGGTAATGGATACGGCGCGTGCAGGTATATCTCGGAATTTCATATTAAGGGCATGTTGAGTTATATATAGGTTCACTTAAATATCATTCAATTTCCTGGGACCACTGAGCCAATAGGAGCGTCATAAATGCCTAATTCGATTCCATATCACTGAGTTTGATGCACCCGCAACACTCATTACCTAGATCGACTTCTCTGATGCCTTATTCCCATTACACAATGTGATTTGAGATATGTAGGTGTCAGTTCAAGAAAACTCCAGATGGATTGCTACAGTACAGAGAGCTACAGAATAGAATCACCGACCCATTGGGCTTTAACCGACCTGATGCGATCAATAGTTGCCTTGCTTGTCAAGGCACTCTCCACACTCATACAGTGCCTGTCATCACATCTCTTGAGGATTGATTTGGGTACAGAGAAATTTTTGTGATTTATTTCCTTTTTTCTAAGCCACAAAACCGGCCAAAAGAATGCGTTTTAACACAAGATCTCATTTTTTCCCATGGTGTTTCACTTTTTCGGGGCTCGGACACCAAAATTGGTATCTATCTCAACGGATCTTCGCTTATTATTCAGCCGGTTTAACCCGCTTTCACACCTGAGCTCTGGACCAAATGCCCAGAAAGGGAAAAAGAAGTGCTGCAGCAAGTGCGCGAGAAGGCTCAAAGCATGGAGTTTCCCCATCTGCTGCCAAGAAGAGCAGCCTTAGATAGAATAACAACTGGGAACGTCCGCAAATACTTCTGTCATTGCAACAGATATCTCCATGCCTGTCGGTGCGTGAAGAAGCCTCACCGGGAAGGCAATGACGCTGACAGTCTCTCAGACTTGGCCTGAATATACAACAGGCTGCATATGCTTTCAAGAAATACATGTCTCATCATCGCATCCCTGTCACTGTGTTGGACAATCCAGAAATTGTCCTGCGGGGTGATGTGGCAGTGTCTAACCCTACCCAAAATGGGAATTGATCCAAACATTAGAGTTTGTTTCATTTTTTTGAGCTCAAAATGTGCAACCTTAAGATCATTGGCCACGGAGCACAAGGTGGTTAGATAGCATACAATAGACACCAAATACACTACCGGAACCACAGAAATGTTTTTCGTGAAAATGTAGTAAGCTTTCCAAGTTTGGATGACAGTCACAGCCAGCTCGGCTACGAGATGTGACTGTCGGCACTGTAATTCGCTCTTTTGATGGCCTTGTTGATCCGGTGATGCTGTTCCGTGTTTTTCCGAGGTGTGCGTGATTATTTGTGGTTACTTATCATGGCATGCAATGTCATCACCTGCCCTGCCCCAATATAGTAACCAATCAGTACGTGTGATCGGATGCTTACCTGGCAACCGATTGGTATTATACTAGGCCAAAATCCACACCCTTCGGTAATACCGCTCAAGACCTTCAGCCAAACGACTTAGAGCTGTATAGCTGAGCATTTTCGGCAGCCTTCGGCACATCACATCGCGCCGATTACAAACCATTCCTCACGTGTACATCACAGCAGGCCGGAATACTCCGCATATTGGCGTCCCCGTTGTCAATGCCGCCGTCACCGTCTTTGTCACAGCGTCGGTTGTCGCTACCCGTACATATCACTCCACATTACGCAGTTCTTTAGATATCATTGAAAGAAAAGATATTGCAAAGACAAGTGATTTGATTCATTGAGACTACGTGTCCAAAAAAAACTATCTAGTGGCATCAGGTGGCGGGAGCGTCGTTACAAGCAGAGCCGGAGAACTCCTCGTCAGAATCCTCGATGACCTCGCGGCTCTTGTGCATCTGCATGCGCGCAAGGGCATTACGTGTAGTGGCGTCATCGCGTGGGGTGCTGGCTGCCTTCTTGCCACGGGGCCGAGTACCATTCTCCTTGTTGGAGCCCGTGGCCCTCTTTGTGGCTGAAGCTGTGCTCCCGGTCTTCTTGGTGACTCGCGCGCGCTTGGTGGGCAGCTGAGAAGCGTGGGCAGCCGCGTCAATGGGTTCCGTGATAACGGGGTTGGCTGACGAGGTCGGGGGCAAATTGGATGAGGGTGATGCGCTATTGTTGGGGCTGTCGTCGATGTCGGCGTGTTTCCGCTTCTGTCCCTTGTCCGACCTGGGTTCCCTGGACTTGGGAACAACCTTCCCGCTCGCTACATCCTCATCCCACAACCGCCGCCGATCCTCCCGTTCTTCCCTGCTGAGCTTCACCCACAGGGTCTCTCCCTTGACAAAGCGGTCACGGAGATCGAGCAGACTCTTGACGGATGAGCTCAGGTCACTGGGATTCTTGATGTCGTTCCAGCCACGGAGTTCGATGCCCAGGCCAACAACAATGTCTTCACGATAGTGGACATATTGCATTGACTGATTGGGATTCCCGGTGATGGTATCTGTGGGACGTGCCAGGTTGTCTCTGGACTGTCTGGCATACACGTACGCAGGCCACGGTTGACAAAATTCCGAATCTCCATCTTGAGGTGGTCGCATTTCTGCTTCGTAGTGCGAAGCAGAGCTTGCCGTGCATGTCAGGACATAGCGGTGAAGCACAGCAGAAAGGGGACGTACCAACACTATCGCATCCTGCGATAGAAAATGCCTCCACCTTCGTCCCAACTTTTGCCAGATCCCATTTCCTACCCACTGCCAGGGGCATGTATTGCTCGAGCTCCGGATTTGAAAAGTACCATTGCGGCTCCATGTAAAAGTCTGCATTGTTGCGTACAACAAGCCACATAACCTCAACACCAACACGCGCAGAAAGGCCACGGACCTGAGCAATGTCAGCCACGGTGAAGACAGGCAGCTAACATACCAGCATAGTCATGTTCCTGATGACATTTGCAACGTCTTGAGACCGTCCTTGGGGAGTCGCACGCTTCAGCTGTGAGTTCAAGACTTTCACATCTTGATAACTGGAAGATAGTCAGCAGAGAATACCAAAAAAGAGTCAGCAGACTCACTCCTCCGCGAGCTTGTTCTTCTCATCAGTCGACAGGGCCTGATATTCTGCACTGAACTTCTCGCTCAATGCAGGTGCATTCAAAGCGACACCGTCCGCTATAAAGAGAATGAAGACCAGTCTTCCCTTCATATGGACACTCACTTTCGCGGATTTCCTCAGCCTTGAAAGCCTTGAAGGCGTTAAACGGATTGATTTTGTCCTGGTGCTTGATCATATGCGCGCCGCCTTGAAAGAACCGGTCGAGGAAGTAACGCTTCTTCTTGTTGTACCGGTCGGCGTAGGTCTGCGCCATGTTCTCTGTCATTGTGAACCAGGCCTCTGAGCGTTTGCAAATGCGCCATGAGCATGAGAGCAGAGGGACCGTGGGACATGCTGTACACACCGACATCGGCATCTTCGGCTTCCTGTGATTTTGCATGGGCGGCAGTGCGTTCCGCTTTCTGGCTTGCTGTGAGAGGAGCTCGAGCGGGCGCAGGAGCTCGTTGACGCGGCTGACTAGCCGCAGCAATTGTGAGACCCAATGTAGGCATTTAGGAGAGGGCGGGGCGGCGGCAACAATTTTTTCCGACAATTTTTCAAGCCTCGGGCTTGATATACGCAATCACATGCTTGGGCCTATCACGGCAATTCTGTCCGCTTATCACGCTTATTCCTTCTATCATGGCTATACATTCACCAGATCTGAGCAAGGGAACATGGAGCATTATGTATCACTGAAGAAAATAGAACAAATGGGCCAGAGTGAGCTACTTCAGAGCAAATAAGATTGCCTCGACTGCACACACAGAGAGACCAGCACGAGAGAGCTCCAAGCCCAACCGGGACTCTGTCGCGAGTCGCAAGACGGTTGAGACCACATCAAACTTATCTTCAGATCCGAGAGACTCGAGCAGGGGCATCAGATTCGCTTGTAGTGAAGCACGCGGATTGGCTGAACTGGAGGGGGTGGAGGGTGCCGGCAACTGAATGTCTGGTGATCTGACAAGATTAGCGACCCTGCGAGGCGTCGCAGAGTACGCAGGAGGTTGTGCACAAGTTGGAGTGGAGGGAATACCTAGAGAGTTTCCATAAGAAAGCACCCAAGCATCATCATGTAGAAAGGACATACCTCCGCCCTGAAAATGAGAGGCTTGAATCTTGTACACATCACGCTCCCTCCGAAGTTGATCAACCTCATCCTCCAAAGAGTCCCGTTCTGCCACAACGCGCAAAAGCTTGTCCTCCAGGTCCTCGTTCCGAGCCCGTAGCGCATTGTTCCGAGACTGAAGGTCAGCCAAATCATCATCGATATCAAGGAGGGGAACTTCAAAGGCAGAAGAGGTGCCTAAGGGGTCGCTGGTGATATCGATGACGGGGATATTGCTGGGCGGGCGGAGGCTGTGTTGTGGGCGCCCTCGGAAGACATAGTGAGCAGAGGTGGTGCTCTGGGGGGCAGGAATGAGACGCGCGGGAACGACTGGACGGTCAACAGCATAAACATTTGGGACCAATCCCCAGGTTGCCTCTGCACGGCAACCCCACGAGATACATGCCCGCGTACCAACCTGCTCCAGAAATGCCTGGACCAGGTAGGAAACAGCGGCGTCCGCATCTGGATGATCGGTGAAGAAACTGGGACGGATGTAGACATCCGCCCTGAGGTTCTCGATGGCCGTTGATTCCGCTGGACTGACCCTGCCGCTGCAATGGAGGACCATAGTGGTTCCTCCAGAGCTTCGGTCAAGTAGTGTTGCCTGGATTCATGAGTCGTGTCATAAAAGAGAGCCGAATACCACGCACCAAATCAAATATGAGATCCTTCACCTGATTCCAAAAGGCATGCCTTTCATCCCAACCCGCACGCTGTGTTGGCACTGACTCGTAGAGCGCAAGAAGCTCAGGGTGAAACTCTCGCGGTAAGACCTTGTGCCTCCCATCCTTCCTCGCGTCGGCTGCAGCAAACGCAATATCACTTGCTGAGAAGGACGCCTGTAAGCTCTGGTAGATAGACGTAGTGACCGGTTGACGGAAAAGATAGCGACGGATGTTGAATAAGCCAACGGGGGTGAAGGTCCGAGAACGGAGAGCAGGAATGAAATCGGGAATGGGATGTCGTGACAATGGAGCTTTGAGTGGGATGAGAGCAGTCCTTGTCGTGTCCATCATGGTCGAGACGAAGGAGCAAGGAATGACAGTTTGTGTCAATCAGATGATCTTGATCACACTGAGTCGCATACCCCGCATCCCAAATTCTGAGGTTTGTTGCCCATCGCACTGTCAGGCAGCCCGGCGTAGATACACATTATTGAGTTTAATAGTATATTCCACCTGAATTATCAGGTAAAGTCAAATGACATGTGCTCGGTAAGTAACTATGTTGCGCGACTCAAGCAGCTTGAGTCATGCAACATGGTTATTACATCTTACTAGTACCAGCTGAGAGTCAAGGGTTGTCAGGATTTACTGTTGGCATTTCTGCCAGCCAGCGAGAGTGATTTATTGCTATCTCATGAGAGATTGCAAGGATATTATCTATCCTGTACATTCTTTGTAAGGAGTAAGTACATACATAAGTTGGGATTCTGAATTTCTGATCACCGATTTTAAATGAAAACCTGCCATTTTATGTGATTTTCTGAGCCAGCGCCAGTAAAGTTCTTAGTGCGCAAGAAGTCCTCGAGGACATTACTCAACACAAGTTCTATCTGGAATGATGATTGAGTAAGTAACATTGATTTGATTCATAAACGATGGCTCATTTGGGCCGCGATGATCCATGTACCCGATGTGCATTCAGTACTGTACTACACAGCAATATCTACTTCTGAGACTTGGAGACGATCCATGAGCTCCACAACAAGGTCCTCATCAAGTCCCTGCAGTTCTCGGGGGACCTCCGTGTCGTCATCATTGTCCTCTGTCTCAACCGCGAGCTGTTGCAAGCCAAGGAGGCTGTGGGCCCAAGAGGGCATAGGAGAGGACTGCGTGATGGTCGGGTCTCTTCCAATTCGATCCCCGGGAAGGAGGCTCCCGGAGAAGCCCAGAAGGCGGCTGGTTTTCACGAGACGCTCAATGATCGATTCTGCGATCCGTGTCTTCTCCACAAGACGGTGCGAGAGCTCAGAAGCAAGGGCGGGGTTTGAGCCTTCATTGGCCGTGATCGCAACCTGATAGTCAGCATGCTCATCCAACAGGAAGGAGACGAGGCGGCGAATCTCCACATTGAGACGCTCAATCTCCTCCTCCGATCTCTTGATCCCAAAGTACAAAGTTGCTGCCTCGCGCCGTGCAGGTTGAGTCCATGGGAGCGCCCGAATATCGACTCGAGTGTTACGAAGAACGTCGAACTCTGCAAGAGTGGTGGTCTGCACGATGTCGGCCCAGTGGAGCTCTTCGCGTGGGGGATTCAATGCTTTTGCTGCCAGGTTGTAGTCATTGAGTGCCCGCTGTATTGCCGCCGCCCTCGTGCGAAGGGCCTTGCCAATCTTGTCACGAAGTTTGTATCCTGACGGTTGGGATTAGTGCGCTTGGTCACACACGACAGAAGTCAGTAGACGTACCCACACCACTCACGGACAGCTTTGTCAACTCGAGGAGACGCTGGACCACAAGCTTCTCCAAGGTATCAAGTGCTTGACAATAGCGCCGCTCACTGAGCGTGATCAGTGCATCATGATACGCCGCCGACCCGCTCTCCCATCGCTCCTCAATCTTGTGCTCTACCTCAAACCGAGCAACTTCTTCCTCCACCAGGAGATGCCGAGTGTGTGTCGTTCGATATCGTGTACGGATGGCAGCAATCTTGGGGCCGGTGATGCCATTTTCGATGATGAGCCGATCCAGGTTCCGGAACTCTCTTGCTGCTGTTGCAGAGGCATCACTTCATGTCGACAATGAGCTCACACAATTACGGAAATGCGCAAAAGAACGTACGCGGCAGTTTGGAGTTTACCGAGAAGCTCAAGGTAATCGACGGCCATGGTCACCGTTCCCGGCTCCGCTTTCAGCGACTGCAGATGGTTCCGTTCGGCTTCCAAATCGGATTTGTAGTCAGCGCCTGTAGTCTTGAGCTCACGCTCAAGCGCGTTCAGCCAGACCCGGTTGTGTGTGATCTTCTCAACGGCTTGCTGGTAGTTAGCGAAGATGAAACTTCCTGATGGATGTGTCAAAATCGGTGTCTGTCAGCAAGAGAGTGATGACGTACCCGACGATGCATGCTTGTCCTGGTCATGGAACGCAAAATGTTCATCAATCTGCTGTTGTCGATGGAATGGAGTTGCAAGTCGCGTACAGCTGGCAAGATGGTTGGATTGACAGAATGTGCGTTCACATTCTTCGAAATCTTCTAATCCCACCCCCTCAAGATACATGGGATGCCACCCGAGTTGGCACTCTCGGTTATGAGCATGGCCGTGGAATGCCGGAACGATGCCACGTAGCTTCATGGCAACAACCTTTGCACCAAGAGAGCTTCGAAGGAGGGTTTTAAAAAACGCACACATGATGTCATACCCTAAGCCAATGTCTGCCCCATATGTGTCTATCAAGTGATTGACTAGAGCAAGCGGATATTTCATCCTAAGGAGACTAAGTTAGCACTGACCAGATAGCAATGACGGTAGACAACTGACAGCTCACCGCTCCGTATCATGTCGCACATGATGAGAACATGTCCGTGTCGACAGACTGCCAAAAATGTACCCGAAACAGCAAAAAGCGCGAACATCTTCTTGCGTGCCTCGGGACCTGCAGCCTTCCATCAATCTACACAGACACTGACACTCTCCTCCAGTTTCTGAACATTGGTTTCATCAAGCTCGTTGACATTGAGCCATGCAACCTCCTCATCATGATCAGTCTCCGCTTCCGTTGGCGGATTGACATCTGGCAGTTGATCGCCAGCGTCACACTCTGTAGCGCTCGAGGGCGCTTTCTTCCTCTGCAACTAAAGGTTATCAGAATAAATCTGGCGATGAGAAACAACACATACCTCAGACATCTTCACCTCATCTTTGAATACGTCCACCTGGGATGGAGTGAGCCAACGCCAAGAGCGGGATTTTCGAGCGTCGAATCGTGGATTGCCGGCACGGAACGTGCTGTCGACGAGTTTCAAAGACGCGTTGCCATCGACACTCATGAAGGAGCGGTATTTGAGTTTGCGTTCTCCCTCAACAGAGTAAAAACAGGGAGCGCAAACGTTCTTGATCTCCCAGTCTTCATCCCGATGTAATGCGGCTGTGACACGTTGATCCACCCGCTGTAGGATCTCGAGGTACGCGTCGTATGCTGTGGTGAGCTGTTCTTGTAGATATCGTTGTCGTGGAACCTGTAGAACATGAGTGTGAAGTTACTTATGATCAATCCCCTAGACGTACCCTATGTAGATGATTCAGAACACGGGCAAGAGAGTCGATGGTGAAACGTGGGGTAACACAATGTATTTGTCGATATATTTCAAATGTACGTATGGAAAAGGCAATCGTGGGTTGGTCTGGACTGGCTCCGAGGTATCCATGTTGTAGCAACGCCTCATTTGGCCCGCAAGAGTCGGAGGGGTGTGAGAAGTGAAGAGTCCCGGACTCTGTGAGCATGGATTAGAAAGTAGTGCTGAAGCGCAAGAGCAAGACTTGCCATCTAGCCCCAGCACCAGCAGAGGCCATCCTTCGCCCGATTCTACAGCAACCTCGCCCTTATCCCGCGACTCCGCCCAAGCGAGATATGAGTCGACCAGGCGCGGCATGTGCCTGTCCCATGCATTGAGCATGTCCTGCACCCGGTGACTCCGAACTCGAGGGTCACCACGCCCACATAGCCAACGTAGTTAGCATACAAGGTGGGCTGCACAGAGGGGACTCACCCAGGTCGCATTCCCTCAGCCACGTTGTTCCATATGGCCTCGTCTCCTGCATAGCTATGCCCAGCACCTTCTTCCCCGGGTGGGAGCGTATGGTAGAAAGCGTGATCGCCGTCCTCCCACTCATCGTGCCCGGTGGCTCCACTGCCATCTCCCATCTCGATGTCCTCTTCTCGTGAGCAGTCCCCCATGATCTCGTCGCGTTGCGTGTAGCTTAGCGCTGTGAAGGCACCCGTATTTGAGTGAAATGAAGAAGATGATGACACGGAGCGCACCCTGAACCTGCTGCTCATATGCTCGCTGTGCCTCCGCCATCTGCTTCGATGTCTTATTGACAGAAACAGACTTGACTTTCTGTATCCGTGCACCGTAGCCAGACCCGTAGCGGACGGTGGTCCGCTTTGAAAGACCGCGGCGCATGAGGAGGGACGTTCGAATACCAGATGTGAGGCAAAGGCGGGGAGGATCGGGAGTTGACGGCTGGAGCAATGACGGTAACAAAGGTGACAATGGCGGCGGCGGACAACGGATACGTCACGGCGTGATGTCGGAAGAGAGCAGATGACGGGAGAGACGTATCACGCGGAGGGATGTGCCGAAGGCTGCCGAAAACGCTCAGCTATACAGCTCCAAGTCGTTTGGCTGAAGGTCTCGAGCGGTATTACCGAAGGGTGTGGATTTTGGCCTAGTATAATACCAATCGGTTGCCAGGTAAGCATCCGATCACACGTACTGATTGGTTACTATATTGGGGCAGGGCAGGTGATGTCATTGTATGTTACTCAAGCCAGGCATTCAGTTGCCAAGGGCGACACTTTCTAGTTACCTTGCTTGTCAAGGCACTCTCCACACTCATAATTCACTCTTTTTGATGGCCTTGTTGATCCAATGGCGCTGTTCTGTGTTTTTCCGAGGCGTGCATGGGTTACAATGTATACTTGACCACACAGTGGCACACACGCGTCCCATAAAGCATGCTCTGTGTCGCAGACAATACCGCGCAGTGGAGATACGACCAGTAGCGATCACCTATAAGACAGAGTCTCAGCGAGTGTAGAGACACAGGAGCTATATCATTAGCTGTACCTATAAGACAGAGTCTATGGTACAAGTCATAAGTAAGGTCATTAGATCGTAAGGGAGAATGCATACCTCAGCGAGTGTAGAGACACAGGAGCTGAGGATATGGAGCGTATAGTACTAGGTTTATATACCAGTCTGGAGCAGATATCATGATGTCATAGTGGAGTAATGATATCATAGATGAGTAATGGATGACGCAATAATGAGGTCAGGTATGAGGTCATTGTGGAGCGAGCCAAAGTAATCTAAGAATACTACTTATGATGTCATGTCTACATACTGTGATAGTCGCTAATACAAACAAGCTTCAACACTCCCACTTGACTAAACAGTCGGATCACGAAGACCCAAAGACAGCCGATGTTGTTGGAACTTCACCCATGCCAAAGACTTTGTGAGCGTGTCTGAGATCATCGCATCAGTCGGCACATGGTAAAGTTGGACATTGCCAGCTTCGACGGATTCTCGTACAAAGTGATAGCGGATGTTGATGTGCTTCGTCCTCCTATCATGAACTGGATTTACTGCCATGAAAATAGCGCCTTGGTTATCAACACAAAGAGGCGTGGATGGCAAGTCATATCCGAGCTCAGTCAACAAAGTGCGGATCCAGGCAATCTGGCGCGTAGCATCGCTCAGAGCCATGTATTCGGCCTCTGTTGAGGACAAAGCGACCGTGGGTTGGCGTCTAGAAACCCAGGTCACTGCACAACCGGCGATGAAGAAGGAATATCCCGTGGTTGAATGCCTGTCGTCTTTGTTCTCCGCCCAATCAGCATCGGAATAACCGATAAGGCCTGCGCCAGTGGAACCATCATAGCAAAGTTGGTAGTTTTTGGTGCCCTGAAGGTACCGGAGTATGTATTTTGCCATGTTCCAATGATGTTCTGACGGGTTGCTGTTGAACTTTGATAGACGGATGACTGCATAGGCAATGTCGGGGCGAGTACCAAGCATGGCGTATAGAAGGCTGCCAATCAGTTGCTGGTATCGGGTACGACGGTCTTCATCAACTTCTCCATCATGCTTCTCGAGCACGATGCCGGAAGGCAGGGGAGTACGAGCTTCTTTACACGAAGACATCCGGAAACGTTCTAGAACTCCTTCGATATAGGAAGCCTGATCAATCCAGATTTTACGCGCTTTGCGATCACGAACTATGTTCAGACCAAGGAAATCCTTCGCAGGACCGAGATCTGTCATTTTGAAGCGATTCGCGAGCAAGGATTTGATATGCGCTATCTCCGGCAGATTGTTGCCCATAATGAGCATATCGTCAACATACAGCACCAAGATGATGACCGTATCTCCCATTTGTTGGCGATATGTGTAGACACCGGCGTCGGAGTATGTCCGAGCAAAACCAAGTTCGAGGAGGGCATTGTGGATTTTGATATTCCACTGACGAGACGCCTGTTTCAACCCATAGAGTGATTTACGAAGGCGTGCCACCTTTTCTTTTGGCCATGACGAGAAACCTTTGGGTAATTCCGGAAGTTCCATATAGATTTCTTCCTCCAGATCCCCGTTTAGGAATGCCGTTTTGACATCCATGGCATGAATCTCCCAATCTTCAAGAGCAGCCAGAGCCATAAGTATGCGCAAAGATTCATAGCGCAATACTGGCGAGAAGGTCTCATCATAGTCAAACCCATGAACCTGAGTGAATCCCTTGGCAACAAGTCGTGCTTTGAAACGACCGTCACGCTTCCTGCTAAACACCCATCTGCATTTGACAGTCTTTCGACCGCGTGGAAGGCTGGTCAAATCCCAAGTACAGTTTTCCTCGAGAGAGTCCAGTTCTTCGCGCATTGCGCGCTCCCACTTGACTGCATCCGGGCTCTTTGCTACATCCCGCACGTTTTGAGGCAAGTCATGCTCAGCTTGGGCAGCTGACAACATGGACTCAATGCTGCTAGGCCTCTGATACGTAGTTCCATCTGGCATAATGTGGGGCTTATTCCGACGAGGGCGGCGATGGGCAATCGGGCGATCGTCTATCGGGCCAGGCATTAGGGGTACTTCTCGCGATCCCGTGACAGGACCTTGTTGCGCGAGGGGTGCCGGTGGCGGTGGGAGAGCAGGAGGTGGTATGCTTGCATAAGGCGTTGCAGGCGCAGGATTATTGATAAGGTCAGGGAAGGTTTCCTTGAATGGTGTGAACGGCTCCGGTCCAGAGGACACATTGCCGGTGACTAGCTTGGACTTGGCAGGGAATACTCGCTCATCGAACTCAACATTTGAAGAGACTCGTATCTTGCGTTGATTTGGATCCCACACTTTCCAAGCTTTTGTCTCTCGTTCGTATCCAACGAAGATGTGGTCGGGGCGTCCATGCTCCAACCCTTTCGGGCGTTTTTCAACATCCACATAGAGAGACGCCTTGCATCCAAACACACGGAAATAAGAGATGTCTGGCTTCTTTCCAAGCCACAGTTCCGCAGGTGTTCGCCATCCCAATCGTGCCATAGGTTGTCTATTATGAACGTGGACAGATGCATCCATAGCACATTGCCAGAAGCCTTTGGATAGGCCGGCATCGAGGCGCATGCATTCCGCTTTCTCGTAGGCTGTGCGATTCCAACGTTCAGACCTCCCATTTTGCTGTGGTTCGCGTGGCGCGGACTTAGGGTGCATAATACCACGTGCATTGAGCCAGGCTGTGAGTTCATCGGACATATATTCGCCTCCACGATCTGACCGGAAGGCCAGTACTTTTGTGCCAAGCTGACGCTCTGTAAGGGCAACAAAGTTTTTAATCGCAGTAGAGGCTTGGTCCTTTGATTTAATGAACACCATCATGCCAAAGCTCGAGAAATCATCGTAGAACGAAATTGTGTAGCGTGAACCTTCCAACGACTGAGTAGGCCAGGGGCCCATCAAATCAGTGTGGATAAGCTCGAGGGGTTTGCTAGCACGTTTCTCTGATGCAGGGTACGGATGCTTGTGCTGTTTTCCAAGCATACATCCATCGCACATGCCGCGCTGGTCTTTATTGCGTCGCAAGGGGGGAACACCTTCAACTTGTGTCGGCAAGTGAGTAAGGGTCCTCCGAGCTGCATGACCAAAATGCTTATGCCACAATTCACGATCGGTAGTTTCTAGGGAAGCGAGCGCGGTAGACTCGTGAGATGCAGACACAGACGGTGCCACGAGCTCCTCGGGGTAGTACTAGTAGTAGCGATTGCTTGCTTTAAAGGTCATCAAGACATCCCCATGCGCTTTTCCCTTGTTGAGCCAATCCTTGGTGACTAGGATTGCCTTGTTGTCACCAACCACGGTGTAGTAACCAGCCTGATCGAGCGCATACCCAGAAAGATAGCGCCCTCTTATGTGCGGGTTGTAGATGACATCCTTCAGTGTGAAGGTGTAGTCCATGCCACTACTAGTATGACCCCGCAACACAATATCTCCAACGGCTTCATTCCTGAAGCGAGCTCCCGACCCAACGACTACATAGGTGTCGATAGGTCTGATGTTGTGAAGATCGGATCGGGTGTTTGTCATATGATGCGTACAACCCGAGTCCCATAGAAAACGAACTTTGGAGTCGTCTCCCATTTCTTCAACAAAAATTCCATCATCGATGTGTTTGAGGGAGTCACTCATGAGATAGGATGAAATGTGCATTCCATTGGAGGCAGCTGCAACCGCGGGAGCGGCTACAACTTCTTTTACAGCGCTAGTACCATCACCACTCTTCTTCTCCTTCTTCTTTTTCTTCTTCCCCTCATCCTGCTTCCCCTTGCCTTTGTCAGAGGATTGACCAGTCGGCTTGAGGTTGGGATACTTCTTGTAGCAGGATGCCGCAACGTGACCGGACTTGTTGCAATGAGTGCAGCGGGTGGCAAGGGACGGAACGGTGGAAATCTTCGAGTTCGATGTCGTGTCGAGGTTCTCGATTTTGATATTCCCTATGACGCTGTTCTTGACATCGACTGGGTTCAAGGAAGCGATAGGACGATTGGCCAGGTAAGAGGTGACGAAACCTCTGCTGGAAGCGGGCAAGGCGGCGAGCATGAGAGTAGCGAAGAGGTAGTCGGGGATCTCGATTCCTCCTTCTGAACACTGGCGACGACGAGTCTCCATTTCCATGATTTGTTTTTCAATGGTATCACCACCGTGAAAGGTGGTGGTGTTCAGGAGGCGGTACTTGACGAAAGCATCGATGGCATTTGGCTGGCCATAATCTGTTGCCATTTTCGCAAAAACCTCGCGCGCAGTGCGCTCCCGCTGACCATCCATAAAGATTCCCTTGTGCAGATTCTGGGTGATGTAAACCCGCGCAAGACCCAGTGCCTTTTCATTGGCAACGTCCCATTGATATTGGCTGTTGCCAGCCGTTCCAGGACGCTCCATAGAACCAGGGTTCGAGGTAGATGTGCCGTTAACCGTAATATGAGTGGGTTTAACCACTCCCC